TATCACAGTCTCTTAAAATTGTCCTTTAAGTGTTTTCTTAAGCATAAAAAGTTAAGAAAATAATAAATACCTACCCACAATTTGTCAGATACTTCGTTTCATTGTGCCATAATGTAAGGATCTATTGTCTAGGTACGTCACTGTGTAAAAGACGGAGGAGCGGGAGAGAAAAAAGAGGAGGCGGACAGGAAACGTTGCGAAGCTGGGGAGAAATCACCGAACCGTTAGTTTGGTTAAATTTATATCAGATGAAGCGGACTGGACCGCCGGCAATAAAAGGGCAATTAGAATGGTTGGCTGGTCTGGAAACAGTTTGATTAAAAAAGAGAAGGGCCAAATAGACAGACGCAAACCAATAAAGTAATAAAGAAGAGTTAATTATCGCAGCTTAATGTCTCTGTTGTCGCGGGAGATGAGCAACTCAATTAACCCATTGTAGATACAGATACACCTACACTATATACAAAGTATATGTAATATATTTACATATATAGATGTGTGTGTTTATAAAAATACACGTCGATAAAGACAAAAGAGGTTCGATTAAGAAATTAATCAAGTCTACCATGGCGTAAATCGCTTTGCTTTGGCCCTCTTTTGTATTTAAATCATGTTATGTTTTTGCAATTTCCTCCTAAACGTGTAGCAGATTTGATTCCGCTCCTGATGACTTTTATACAATTTCCAATTATATTACGTCAGAGGCTTTTGGTTTTTGTAATTAAATGCGCTGCACTTTTACTAAAATTGAAATATTTATTAAATAATAAAAAATCGATGTAGATAATTTAAAACTGTGTAAATATTACGAGCCCTCTCCGTTAAGTTGCCTCAGCTTGATTATTTTAACAAAATACACGACCAAAATAAGAAATCTCAAATTTATACTGTAATCAGCGATATCTAAATGAGATCTTATGATGCTTGAAGGAAACCTATCACATGTATAATTTCACATAGATGTGAGAAATCCCATCATCTGCGTTACGATTGGGGAAACATCAAATATATAACCTCTTTTAAAACATACTTACAGTTATCTGCTAGTGGGCCATAATTTGAAAATTATCAGATGGCATAAACCGATTAATTCTTCCAAAAACTTTGTAAAGCGGGAAGGGATCATATACCTACACGCCTTCAGGAGGACGACATGCGGGATTCATGGTGATTTGCAAATGAGACAAGGCGCGTTATATATGCCATTTATATAGGACTTACAGGCAGCCGCATGGGGTCACCACGAGTCAGTGTGCCTAACCTCTTTGGGAACCTAGCTATCCCTACTAAAGACTTTAGTCAGGGATATGTGATGTATATTTACGTTGGACTCGGTTGCCGAATTCAAACGTATTAGATATACTTGCCAGTTTTATAGAGCAATCTCATGGAACCACCTCGAGGCAATATGGGTAATCTCGTTGGGATTCTAGCTGCTCCCTTCCAAGATATTAGTCAGGTATATTGCATGATACACATTTATGTTAGGCTGAGATGATGAACTAAATTAGTAGATCGCAGAATTGACAGATACGACGATTATTTTGGTATCGGTTGTTGTAAAATTTAGCAGATAAGTCAGATGCCGAAATTAAATTGAAAAAAGGTTTTGTTTTCTTTTCTTGAAGCAAATTAAACATATAGCTTTAAATAAAATGGAACCGGTATTGATAATGGAAGCGGTATTGACAAAATAGTACTGTATGAAAATGAATAAAAATAAAACAGAAATACTGGTATGCACTTCTATACTCGCGAACAGTTAATTTGGAAATTAGAAAAAGATTGTTAAAGGTGTATGTTTGGAGCACGGCGCTGTACGGGTGCGAAACATGGGCAGTGGGCGCGGCAGAAAAGAAAAGGTTAGAAACATTCGAAATGTGGTGTTACAGGCGAATAATAAGGTTACCGTGGATAGAGGTTAGAAATGAAGAGGTATTAGAAAGAATAAGAGAACAGAGGACTCTATGGAAGTCAATAAGAAATAGGCTGGTAGGACACCTTCTAAGGCATGAAGGTCTAGTCAGAGACATATTAGAGCAGAAGTTAAGAGCGGTAGAGGTAAACCTAAATTAGATTACTGTTCGCAAAAAGTGTCCAACCAGTTTTAGGACTGACGACCTTATGATGATGAGAAGAAGAACTGAGAGAAAAAGTTTTGTTGAGGTATTTCCCTGATCGCAACGAGCTGTGGCTATATATTGTGGGCGATGACCAGTGTCGGCTATTGCAGAAGCTGAGTATTAACGAATTTCGGCATCATTCGGCATATTTTCTTAATGTGGTACATTCAATGATTGATGCTAATACGACAAACACCTGAGGGTACATATACTGATCATGCTTGTAAGTAAAACACGTCCGGGTATTTTAATAATATTGTTTTAAGACTAAAAATACCACGAATGAAAATTTTTATCTCCGCTTTTTTCAAAATTCGATTTTTTAAATACTATCTAGGTTTCAAAAGCAGCGAAGTAGTATTGTTAATATATTGTATTTGATATTCGAGTCACTGACGTTTAGTTGTACCATTAGGAGTATATAGAGGGTGTACAATTCTTATCTATCATGGCTAATATCTTATTGTGTAAGTTATAATTTTGAAAAATAAATTAAAGCATTCGTTGCTTTTATAAGAATAAACAACTTTTCACCCTATAGATATGTATTGGCTTTGATTCTTCGCAAAAGTATTTTAAATTGGAATATCTTTGTTAAAGTTTTAATAAGCGCTTTAGAATCAATATTTTTTTCTGATTTAAATAATGTGTTTAAAAGATTCATGCGTAATTCTTCATTGATTAGGTACTTACCAGTGGCGCAACAACGTTACAGTTTGACTGGGTGCTCCCATAATAATACTATAAATACATTTACGAGCTTGAATTATTTGAACCGAACATTCAAGTCTGAGTCGACTGGAATTGACTGGGTGCCCAACCCAATCGAGTGGGTGCTCAGGCACCCGCGGATGCCCTCTTGTTGCGCCTCTGGTACCTACCTATATATAATTATGGAGAAAAAGAGTTTAGGATAATTAAGGAACATTAGTAAGTTTGTCCGGCCAATTGGTAGTTACGCCACTGCTATAAAGCTAACTGGCATTTCATAGGTATATGACGAAATAACCATAATCAGGAAGGTAATAAAAGGATGATGTATGCAGAAAATCTCATTGACATATTTTTATTGCGCCTGGTTATTTACAGAGATCGACAGCTGTTGAAAAGCTACACGTTGATAAGTAATTATTTAATGTACAAATTAATCAATTTATTGTAATTTTATTTATGTACACAGTTTACAAAAAGTTCACACAATTGATACACTCGTAAAAAGAAAGTCTTACAGAAATTGCAATTTCTTACACCTCCATTTAATAATTAATTTAATCAAAAGCGATAAAAATATTGTTTAAAATTTGAATATTTTTCAAATTTATCATTATTGCACTAAATATTTTAAAATACCTTTACTTCGTTTTGTTTAGTTTTTGAATTTTTTTTGCATTTAAAACTGATCGTTGTGATAAAGGCAATCGACGAAATAATAAATCAAATATTTCAAAATAAGAATTAAAATATGTCTGATGGGGAAAGAAAGTAGGTAGTGCTTTAAATTAGAAGTAAATTAAAAAAAAAATGTCCCATGCCTATTTTGGCACTTTTTAAGAAGGATCTAATATCTACGATGTAAAACGCTTAAAGTTCAGAATATCTCCATATTTTTTTAAGAAGGAAAATATTGTTTAAATGATATGCTTAAAAATCGGATAATTAAAAGTGTTAAGATCAGGTACGAGGGTTTTATGCTGTATGCAGGGCCATAGCACACCTGGACGAGGGTCTGCTGTGCGCGTATATACAGTAAAAATTCCTTATTCACGGTTTCCTTATTCGCGTTTTCATTATTCGCAGGTGAAAAAATTGCAACCCAATTCCTGTATGCGCGGCTAAAAATTTCATTATTCGCTGATGCAATCGGTAAACAGAAAAGGATTTGGTGTCATTTATTAAGGGAATTGACCGCATTAGACCGCTCGTGCCTAATGTGAATTTTTCCGAAAACATGGGTTTCTATTCTAAATATTGTGATTTAACGCTGCGAGATAAATATGTGATTTTTTGTATGGTGACAGACAAAGCTTCACACTAACTCATTACGTTTCAGGTTTTCAATAATATGGCCATTAAAGGCTTTTACAAGTGTTTAAAGTTGATGCTTCTTGTAGGACACGTATTTTCAATAGAAATTAAAAAATTAAAAAATGACCTTCTACAGACTTTAGAACAAAGCTTTATCTATCTTACTACAAAATTTCAAACTTCTGTTCCAAACATTAAACTCATGATATATAGAACCGATAATTGACATCTTTTGAGTACGTAGTTAGTACGTGACGAAGCGGCTTTTATAAAAAGTCTAACCGAGTAGAAAAGGATTCGGTGTTATTTTCCAACGTATCAGCATCTTTTGAGTACTGTTGGCTCGTACCGAGGCGACTTTTTTAAAAGATGTAACCGAGTGGACTAATTTCAATATTCAATACAACAAAAAATTACTAAATTTTTTAAACTCTTGTCTAAAGCTAATTATAACTATTAATTTTAATTGCGAATTTATTAATACATTGATTTTATCTTGATCATATTGGTTTTATGTTGGAACCTTAGAACCTATTCCCTATGATTCCATGCTAATTACCATTCCATATCCACGGTTTCTGTTTTCGCGGCATATTTATGGAATGTATACCCTGCGAATAAAGAGCTTTTACTGTATAATAAATGTCTGAAACTGATAATATACAGACTCTCGTCCAGGTATACTGCACAAGTATGTGTGCGTTGTATGACCCTACCGAAAAACATTTTTTTTTTTATTTACAGTAAAAAATTTCGGTAAGAGAAGTCATTTTTATTAAATTGATTTTAAAATTTTGATTTTTCAGTTTTTACTGATGCGTATGGATTAACAGCTAGTGTTCTAGTTTGTATTCATCATAAGGTTTTCCAGTTTTCAACTTAATATTTGGTTTTAGTTTTTTAGTTAGATATTACGTACCTACCTAGGTACTATTTAAAACCAAAGCTCACGACGAAACGTAAATATCTAGAAGTAGAAACATTCCATCGGAAAATCGTTTATCAAAAGTAGCGCAATTTTCTTTCCAAAATAAACCTCAAATAAAACGAAAGGTAACGTTAAGTTCCCACAAGTATATTATTATATACCAAAAAAGTATTGATAACGTGGTTGGTTCTAATATAAGCATTGGCAAACATTCAATTTAGTGTAATTATGTATATTTATGCTTATCTATCTAAATTTACATCCAATATTTACAACTCAATAGTACAATCATGATCGACGCAACCGGACGTCGATAACATTTGTGTAGGACACGATACATTTATTTATCCTTCGACAGAATCGAATAAAGGATAGTCCTCAAAGAATCACTGAGATTTGTACGTAGTATTAGTTATTTACCTAATCAGGTAAATTAATTAAAATGTCTGTCTGCAGGTTCATTTATTTGAAACAAAAGTGGTTCGATTTCCGATTCCGCTGAGATCTTGATGATATCGTTCAACATTGCTACAAGTAAAATTATATTATGTACACTTGATTGTCAGTCTCGTCATGGTCACCCTACACCATTTGCAGTCCTTTCGTTATACTTTCGACGTGTTCTTTTGCACGGAGCCTGAGGGCCGCTATTGAGGTACTCCTGGGATCTGTCGTGGTCGCGAGACTTCCGGACTGCGAATGGGCCATGGGTGGAGGCGGTCGAGTCGAGTCCGGTGCTGCAACTGGAGACGTTAAATAGCTCGGATAGCCCGTTTGCGGATGGCTGAGGAAGCCTGGGAGAGCGGAAAGAAGAGGCGGAGATAACCACGGATCCATGGGCAGACCTAAGGCGGGGTTGCCGACGCGCGACAACGAAGAAACCGCGTGGTAATCGCTCAGACCCAGACGAGCTGCTTCCATCTTTTCCTGGCGTCGCCATTTCGCTCGTCTGTTCTGGAACCATACCTGGAATGAAGGAGAAAACGTTTCAACAATGTTAAATATCATTCACAATGTTGCATCCCTTTTTCTTTCGGAAAAATCAGTCGCAGCAAATGTCTTGCGGAACTATTACTACCATAAATTTTCACTGCGGAACTCAGCACAGAGATGGACTTACTTTTTTCATGGAATCCTTAAGACTTGATCGATGATATAGGAATTCTCAACAGCGTTACACATTTTGTTGCAATGACATTCTAATCAATACTTAACTAACAATAAGAAGCTTTTATACTAGATGTCTATCTGCGATTCTTTATTGAATAATCATAAATCTTTCTGGCTGCATAGTTGAAAATCCTTAAGAAAATAGAAGAAATTTTCAGCGACTTCGAAATTAAATAAAAGTTGTTGTCAAATAATTCCATTGCTTTTTGTTAAGAAAAAATTATACCTATGTTGTTAGAATACAACGATTTCATAATATGTAATGTAAGTTCGTAGATTAATAAATCAAGTATTTTATGTTGCTTATTGTTAGACTAAGAAAACAAGCCATGATTTGTATTAACCAAAGTTTATGTTTCGTCTAGTTCAAATCCTGTTCGGAAAGTAGTTGTAAGAAAGACGTTGTAAAAGAAAGATTGTCAGTAAAAGAACATTGAAAAATTGTAACTCACTATTGTTTAAATATTCAAGCTAAATAAAATTTACTTTACTTCAATAATCAACTGGTTTTTTCATAATTGGAATAAATAAATCGAACAGGTTATGGGCCCAGTCCCAGCTTGGTTATAGTGCGAGTAAAGTGCGTGATTACGGGTTTAAACAGTAGAACGGTCGAATATTAAAAATTAAAGTAAAGTTAAACAATGGCAGACTCATCGGGTTTTCGGTTTGCTATTCAAAAACTAAATGGTGAAAATTATGCCGTTTGGAGTTACAAAGTCGAACTTTTACTTATAAAGGACAATTTGTGGGACGTGATTTCGGAACCAGCGCCTTCTCCGGTTACTGAAGAATGGTCCAAACGCAATGATCAAGCACGTGCAACAATAGGTCTTCTTGTTGAAGATAATCAGTTATTGCACATCAGGAAGGCTACAACAGCGAAAGAATCCTGGGATGCGTTAAAAGAGTACCATCAAAAATCAACATTAACCAGTAAAGTGTTTTTACTAAAACGTATATGCAGAGCTGTATTAAAAGAAGATGGTGATATGGAAAACCACATCACGGAAATATCGACAAACATAAATCAGCTAGCAGCACTTGGTCAAAATTTACCGGATGAACTACAGGCAGCACTGTTACTTGGAAGTTTACCAGAATCCTATGACACTCTTGTTACAGCTCTTGAAAGTAGGGCTGAAAAGGACCTCACGTTTCAATTCGTCAAAAGTAAACTAATGGACGAATATAAACGGCGAAAAGGGGCAAGAGAAACGAAAGGGAACTTTCAAACTGAAGAAACAGTTATGAAGTCAGTGCATAAAGAGAATAAACAAAACAAGAAAACTTGTTTTTTCTGTAAAAAGACTGGTCATTTCAAGAATGAATGTTTAAAGTACAAAGCATGGAAGGGCAAACAAGAAAAAGCACATAAAGCAGTCGGTGAAGAAACGACAAATTCCGACGGAACATGTTTCATCGTACAGGATGCAAAGGATCTCGCAGAAGTGTGTCTAAGTGTAACGACTGGTGAAAAAAGTCAAATTCCGTGGTTCGTGGATTCGGGTGCAACAACACATATGGCGCGGTCAAAGGATTTTTTCACGAATTTAGACTCAAGCAGGAAGGGTCTTGTGCGACTTGCGGACGATAATAAATTCGCGAAAGTTGAAGGTGTCGGTTCGGGAACAATAAAGTGCCAGAATAATTCGGGAAAAACTGCAACTTTAACAGTAAACAACGTACTGTACGTACCGAATTTAGGGTCAAATCTATTATCAGTAAAAGGATTAACTCAGAATGGTTTCAAACTTTCGTTCTCCAAAAACATTTGCCATATTACTAAAGATGGAAAAGTGCAAGCTACAGCGGAACTGTCTCCAGAACTGTATCAAGTGAAAACAACAGGTGAAGTGCATACAGCAAAATTAGCACACGGCATAAATTGTCAGCATATGTGGCACAGACAGTTTGGACACCGAGACCCAAAAGCTATTGAAGATTTGGAGAAAAAAGGATTGGCTACGGGAATAAAAATTAAGGATTGCGGAAAACGTGAAATCTGTGAATGTTGTATAAAAGGGAAAATGGCAAGAATACCTTTTCCAAAAGAATCAACAAACAAATCAGCTGCAATACTTGATCTCATTCATACGGATGTTTGCGGCCCAATGCAAACAGTCACACCAGGCAATAAAAGATACATTTTAACAATTATTGACGATTTCTCTAGATACGCATGGGTTCATCTTATGAGTCATAAAAATGAAGCAACATCGTTCATAAAGAATTTTGTTAAAATGATGGAAACGCAACTTGGCAAAAAACCCAAAGTTATAAGATCTGATCGAGGAAGAGAATACATAAATAAAGATCTAAAGGGTTTCTTGAAAAAAGAAGGAATAAAGACACAATATACGACAGCTTATTCACCACAACAAAATGGGGTCGCCGAAAGGAAGAATCGTTCTTTGTTGGAAATGGCAAGATGCATGTTACTGGATGCAAACATGGAAAAGAAATATTGGGGTGAAGCTGTGAATACGGCAAATTACTTACAAAATAGATTACCTACCAAGGCGACAAATAAGACTCCTTTCGAACTGTGGTACTCAAAGAAGCCTGACGTAAGAAATTTACACATTTTTGGTTGTGGAGCTTACGTTCACATTCATAAAGAACAGCGAAAGAAGTTAGACAATAAGGCTGAGAAATATACTTTCGTTGGATATTCGGAAGAATCGAAGGCATTTCGTCTTTTAAATATGGAAACAAACCAAATCAAGATTAGCCGAGATGTGATATTTCTTGATAAGGAGTATAATGGAAACATGAAAACAACTGAGGAAAATGAAGTGACATTCCATAGAGTGGAAACCGACAATCAGGAAGACGAAAGCGAGGATGACGGCGAAGATTCAACAACTCAAGAGGAAAGTGATCCAAGTGGAAGTGATTCAACCTATAATCCGGAAGATTCGTATAGTGATGAATCGGGAAATGAACAACCACTTGTGCAGTGTCGGCATTCGGAAAGAAATAATCGCGGAGTACCACCGGATAGGTACATCGCGAGTTTAAAACTTGTGACAGATGCTGAACCCGGTTGTTTCAAAGACGCGGTTTCGGGAGCTGATAGTGAATGTTGACATAGGGTCTAAACAAAACAAAACTGCAGTTCCTATCCGAGAAAATTGGTTTAATTAAAAATTAGTTTTTGTTGCAAATCGTTGAGGAAGGGTGTTAGAATACAACGATTTCATAATATGTAATGTAAGTTCGTAGATTAATAAATCAAGTATTTTATGTTGCTTATTGTTAGACTAAGAAAACAAGCCATGATTTGTATTAACCAAAGTTTATGTTTCGTCTAGTTCAAATCCTGTTCGGAAAGTAGTTGTAAGAAAGACGTTGTAAAAGAAAGATTGTCAGTAAAAGAACATTGAAAAATTGTAACTCACTATTGTTTAAATATTCAAGCTAAATAAAATTTACTTTACTTCAATAATCAACTGGTTTTTTCATAATTGGAATAAATAAATCGAACATATGTAAATGATGAAATTAAAAAACGCAAATTATAAATTACTAAAATAAACAAATTTTAATTTACATATCATAATAGTAAAAACTTCCGCTGATTTATTAATAGTAGTAAACTAATACATATTAAAATAATAAGATTCGCTGCCACTGATTAATAAGCAATATAACAATTTATAAAGCTTCAGGTATTGCGCTATGCATTAAACAGTAATAGGTACCTATCAATTCATTCCATTTGCTAGAGTAATTTCGATCACATTTCCACAACAAACACCACTACCTGTTTACTTAGTAATCGAGGTGAGCTAATGCTAATGTACTGTCGATACATAAGGCAGAGGGGTTGATGTATTTACCTAATAATATATTATGACTTGGTAGCATCGGCGTTTAGCGATGGCGTTTTTCTGTATTACACACATTAACAAACATCTTCAACCGTTTATCGTAACGTTGTTATTTACCTAATCAATCACACTTTTTTACTACAATAATACGAATTTTAGGGTGAGCGATTACATTCAAGAAAATAACAATTTTTATTTATTGTCTATTATTTGTTGTGCATATTATACACCGTATAACTTGTAAATATCATTAGTTTGTAATAATTCTGATTTTTATATTGCAAACTGACGAAAAATTGTGAACTGCAACCCAACCATTTACAATTTAACCTATTCGATCTGGCCTCATGTGACTAATGAAGGGCAGGCCAAAATAGGGATTTCCTCGTAGATTCCTCATGAAAATCCCACCAAAAAAAAGTGGTGATAGGTACTAAAATGACAATTGCCTTATGGGTTTTTCATATGGGTCTTACGAGGCAAACACACGTATAAACTTACAATTAAATGGGGGCTCGATGAATAAGGTAAATCCGTTTGAAAATACTCTCGGTAAAATGAAAAAACCTATAATAATAATCCCTTTGCCCAATTATGTCGTCGTTTCAATAAAATCTTTTACATTTGCAACGAATCAACAAGTGTACTTTCTGATGTTATTATAAGACAACTGAAACCAGACGCATAAAGTCGAACAACAGTAAAACGATTACAATTTAAAGTATTATTGACTACAAAAGAGCTCAATAACACAATCTTACTTAAGAGCAAACAAATTTTACAAATAAGTGATATATGTATATATTCTTCCAAATGGAGATATAAATTGTATTGAAATTTGTGGAAAACTACTACGAAAAAGAAAATCTAAGAAAGCTAAATATTTAGACATGTACCTATAGTTTCTGCAAACAATGAAAACATTACTATATACCTGTAAAATCATGGATGTTGATAAAA